CACAATTAAAACCGTCGACTAAAAACTCAATCAGAATCAAATTCATTTACCTTCCGTAGTCAACGGGAAGACAACGACAGCCGCAAATGGTATCGCTGTCGGTTAACAGAAGCTGCCTGTGTAGGGTCCCCTTTGGGGTCCGTACACAAACATGAGGACCACATTTTTACACACACAACCACGACACACAGTTGACTGGACAGATTACTTACAATTGAGAAGAAGGGAGACTCTGATGCGAAGTTCAAGGAGACAGGTAATTAAACCTGGTAGTATTGTGGTAGGTTAATTTTTAGTTATTTGCCTCCCGAAGTCAACCAGTAACAGAGAGTAGGGTATCTATGACTCGGGCGACTGGAGACCGGCAATCGTCTGTTGACCCAAACTAAATTTCTGAGGACTCTGTGGAATTGGTGTGTCAACCTCGTGCCTAGATTTGGTGTTCGCACACACACACACACACACACACACCCACACACACCACACACACACACACACACACACACACACACACACACACAACACACACACACACACACAACACACACACACACACACAACACACACACACACACACACACACTAACACACACACACACCACACACCACACACACACACCACAAACGTCTCGCAGGTGATAGGTACTGCCAAGCGTCCTAGATCTGACACCTCCCAGTCGGTAGGTAGACACTCCACTCAGTGTAAATGACATCTATCTAAAAAACGTCTAAATTTGTCTTTCGATGTGTAAAACCGAAGTGGTAAGAGGTTCGGGGTCTCAATGTTTGTCAAAATTCCCGGATACTACGTGTAAAAGTCCAATTAAGAATAAAACCCAGAATGACACTGTACAAATGTACGAAATTACAAACTTTTCGAGAAATAAAAAGAGTTGACCGGACACGACGTCCGTGAAGAAAAGTGGGAGACAGACTTTGGTCTCGGGTCAGACGGAGACTAACCAATTTGGCGCATTTCTACAGGGCAGGGAATCGGGTAGTGAATGCTACACAAATTCTCAATCGGTTATCTTCGCTAACACAATGCATCACTACAGTACCTTCATTTTGTTCTCAGATTAAGCGTTACAAATTCCATCCCCCCTCTCACACCCTCTCTTTGAGGGAAATAGCACTGAAACTCCGTAAGAATCGGAACCTGTTGTTTATGATATATTGTGTGTTTCGTATCATACCCGGAGAATCTATCGATAAAAGCTCTTTTTTATATCAGGGATTTTTTAGACTACGGACTCAAGGACACTTGTATAAGTCTCATTACCCAACCGTTAATTTTTTTTGGAGTTTTCAATTTGCGAAATTACAAAAATTTTTTCCTGTAGATATTATCCATTACACACACGAAAGCTACCGACACCAGCCCCAGCTTTGTTTACAATCAACCAAGTTTATTATGTTCGATAGAGTCCAGTTGAATAGTACATTTTACTAACGTTTTTGGTTATAACTACGTAATATAGGTGTCGACTAACCCTTGTTTACAGGTATTTGTATATACTGTTATGATTGAGTTTTTCTTATGTACATTTCTATATCAAGGATCTAATATTTAGTTTACAGGTCTACAACCTCTCTTCACCACTCGTCTAGGTATTTTTGTCAGTATAAAACCAGTACATTTCGATAATCACCAAAGACCCTTTTACAAATACATCTCTGACCTTTATTGAACAAAAAGAGGTTTATTAGTAACCTGTCATTGTGATAATATATTTGTAGGTAAGTAAAATTTAACATAACCCCATCTCCTTCTTTGAACGTGTTTGTTATGAGTTTAGACCCTTTTATTTTAGATTTATGATTAAGGTAACTCTCTTTTATATATCTATATGAAGTATTCCTACTTGCATTGGGAAAGTCACAATCACGGAACGTGTCAAGATGACTTAGCTCACTTTACTTTAATAGTCTCACTAGTGTAATACCCGAGACGTATTTCCTATACTTTAAATAAAATTGTGTTGTGTACCGAGGTCTAATTGAACGGGTAAACTACTAATAGAGTAATAATTACTCGTACAAATGACCGGTGTCACTCTACTTACGTCAACAAACCGAGATAACTGCCACATATAGAAAAATTGTTTGTTGTACAACTCAACGGGAGTCGTTTTTAGGGGTACGAACAAAAGGACCTCACTTTAATGGTTCCTAATACGAAAAAGAGGTTGTTTTGTCAGTTAAAGGTCCCATGTCATGCTTTTCTGGTTATTACCCGTCCCCTTGTGTGTTATGTAGCTTTTTCTGCATGTAAACGTTCTGCAGAGTCACAAACCCTCAAAGTACAGCCTGTAGCGAGTAAAACTCTAACACAGAAAAGACCTGTCTATGCAGTGTTAATTTTGGCAGCTATTTTTGAGTTAGTCTTAGTCTTAAGTAAATGGAGGGCTATCAGTTGCCTTCTGTTGCTGTCGCGTTTCCATAGCGACAGCCAATTGTCTTGACGACACATCCCAGGGGAAACCCCAGGCATGTGTTTGTACTCCTGCGTGTAAATGTGTGTGTGTGTGTGTGTCAACTGACCTGTCTAATGATGTTAACTCTTCTTCCCTCTGAGACTACGCTTCATTTCCTCTTGTCATTAATTTGGACCTCATCACCATCAATTAAAAATCAAATAAACGGAGAGGCTTCAGTTGTCTATTTGTCTCTCATCCATTAGATATGAGCCTCGCTTGACCTCTGGCCGTTAGAGACAACTGGGTTTGACTTTAAAGACTCTGAGACACACTTAACCACACAGTTGGAGCACGGATCTAACACGTGTGTGTGTGTGTGTGTGTGTGTGTGTGTGTGTGTGTGTGTGTGTGTGTGTGTGTGTGTGTGTGTGTGTGTGTGTGTGTGTGTGTGTGTGTGTGTGTGTGTGTTTGCAGAGCTCCACTATCCCATGACGGTTCGGCAGGATCAGACTGTGGAGGGTCAGCCATCATCTGTCGAGGTGAGTCACATTTACTGTAGATAGATTTTTGCAGATTTAAACAGAAAGCTACACATTTTGGCTTTCACATTCTCCAAGCCCCAGAGTTAAAACAGTTTTAAAGGGGCCCTATGATGCACATTTTCAGGTTAATTTCTTATTTTGTGTCTCTACTGTGACATGTTTACATGCTTTAATGTTTGAAAAGCTCTTTATTTTTCTCATACTGCCTGTGCTGCAGCACTTCTTTTCACCCTCTGTCTGAAACCAGAGCCCAGTCTGCTCTGATTGGTTAACCGCGTAAAGATGTCCCGTCCCTTAGCCCATCACTTACGATGTGTTTAAGAGTTAGCCAATAGAAGCGATTGTGTTACGTAGTGATGTCATGGAAGTAAACAAAGGAGTCCTATCGCAATGTTTAAGGTAGGGGGGAGAGTGTGGGAGAGAAACTCCCTTTATCGTGAACTTTGAGATTTTAGCCTTTGGACAAAAATCTATATAACACACAAAGCATAGTAGGGCCTCTTAGAATAGCTATTTTCGAGAAAAAATATAGTCCCTAAAAAACTCTGATGCTGAGTTCTGTGAACTATGCAGAGTAATGGGTTGGCAATTTAAAAAAAACTACAAAGTTAAACGCTTTAATGTTTTTTAAAAAGACATCTATTAAAGGTAATGTGTGTGCTTTCGATGGCTGTGGTCGGGTCGAAACAAAATGTTAGTTGGTTCAAATAATACAAGCTATCTCAGGTCAACTTATCATGTAAAAATGATTGCAAAACCAATATTGATGCATTATATCCACAGCTGATTGGGAACAAATGTGCATAAACATATATGAAATAACTAACTCAAAAAGAATACATGTAAAGATTATAGTTCTAGATTATAAATCAAATGTCCAGATGTTGGAGAGAATGTGGTGAGCAGATCATAAAACAGTCATATTTTGGTCATGTAAAGCTATTAGTGGTTTCTGGGAAAATGTTATGTAGAGAACTGAAATAACTTGTTTTTCTCTCCAATAATCATTGACAGTACACTATTATATAAACTCCATTCATTTAAATTGTATTGGGGTAGAGGAAGAAACTTGCACAAACAATATCTCAAATCTGGGAAAATAAAACTAAATTACTAATTCCATTAGAGAAAATATATAATATATTCATAAGGATGAACTAACCCTTTCAGTGTTTGCTTGCACAGTTCTACTGATCGAGTGAAAGTGAAATTATCAGAGTGATCACATTATGGGCCTGCATAAAGGATATGAAATTATTTTAACACAAACAGCATGGCTCAGATTAACTTGCCATTTAGATGATTATCTGCTTATTAATGAGCATGTTTACTGCACAGTGAGATGAATGCAGTTGTTTGGCTCTATTTGACGGTGTATATCTTTTTAACAAACAACATGTTGAGTCTGCTCCTCAGCACAATCCCCATGCTTGTTTCTGGAGTGAAATTACCAAGATTATGCTTTTTCTCTATATTTGTCTATTCACAATATTAACATCACTAGAATTCTACAAAATGTTTAATATTGAACTTTTTATCCTTGTTACTTTAGGGTAAATTTGTATTTATCTTTACAGTTTACTAACATTTACCATAATTTGTACTTTTACCGTGCTTCGCTATGTTAGCTAATGTCATGTAGTTTATGTAGGCCTAAATCCTTCACAATTCTAGTGTCTCCATAAGTTTTAAATCAGATAATGGTCATATGCAGTGGCGGACTGGCCATCGGGACGTTCGGGACGAATCCCGATGATCCGGTACTGAAGTGGGTCGGTCGGACGATGTGGGCCGGTCGGATAAGTCACTAGAACCCCCCCCCTGTTGACAATTTACTAGTGGTATTTACTTGTGGTACCGAGCTGGGCCGGTCTGATAAGTCACTAGCATCCAGCCCCCCCCCACCCCCCGTTGACAATTTACTAGCGGTAACAAAGTGAGCCGGTCAAGAGTCCCGGGCTGATTTTTAGCCCATGGTCATATTTCTTGTATAAAATGATTTATTGTAAGTAAAGAAGAACTAACAAAACAGTAATTGTTTGAATTTACAAGTTTGATGTCAATCTACCTGTAGCTCATATTGCTAGCTAGCTGGGAAGCTACTAGCAAAAGAAACTTAAAGGTTTTACTGCCACAGGAAAAAATGAGACTTTTGAGATTGGCGTTATTATTACTGATATTTACTAAAATAGCATAGGTTTTATCTAGATTACAAGCATTTGCTGAATTAAATGTTTTAATTTCCAGCCTTTTTAAAACCTTTCTTTGCCCCTACAAGCTACTTAGCTCAACCTTAGCTTAGTTAGAACATAAGTTAAAATAAGATTTAACCTACCAAACCATGTCTTACAATAATTGTTAAATGTGGTTCACCAAATGTAATGGTGTTTGAACAAGAATTGTAAAACAGTCATTAAATAACGTTTAATTTTGTTTGAGAACAATAGCAGTTATATAAACGGGTTTGCAGTGACCACACATCTGGCAATGATGCAGTTGATTAGAAAATTAGAAAAACAAAAACAGCCTTAATTTGCCCACTTCACTTTATTCATTTTAAAATCAAGTGACTTTTATCTGTACTGATTTCAAACCGTTTGAAGTGGAACTTCGCACTAATGTGCAAACATGTACTTAATATTTATAATGTGTTTTTGCTTGCAACAAAAGAGAGAGGTTTTTCTCTCTGTATACTGTTTTATCAGAATACTCTCACCATAAATTGAGAGAAATGTATTTGAAATGATGTTTCTCTTTCCAAACTGATTGCCGCTACTTCGCTGTGAATACCATTTAAATAATGTTTTGAGTTCAAAAATACATTCTTCCACTTGAGTGTGAATGCAGGAATTCCTCAAAAGCTGGCTTGTATTGTCATTATCACCAGTTTGTGTGTGTGACTAGTTGAGTCATCACATGTAGAATGTCATAAACAAAGGGTGGTGTGTGTAACTGCCTGTGTTTGTATAGGATATCAATCAATCGATCAATGTTTATTTATATAGCCCAATATCACAAATGTTACATTTGTCTCAGAAGTCTTCACAGTTTGTACAGAATATCAGTATGACAATACGACACCTTCTGTCCTTAGACCCTCACATCGTACAAGGAAAAACTTCCAGAGAAAACCCACAGTTTAATGGGGAAAATGGGAGAAACCTCAGGGAGAGCAACAGAGGAGGGATCCCTCTCCCAGGACGGACAGACGTGCAATAGATGCCGTGTGTAAATTGAAGAGATAATACATTTTACAGCATATTTACCAAATGTTTGGAAATGCATGTGTTTATAATAAGAAGATGAATCCACGAGGTTGTCAACAATCCTGTGGGAGCCATCAGGGAAGTAGTCCTGAGAGCCCGGCAGGACCACAGTGATAGGTTCAGCCACGACTCAAAGTCCAGGAGTCAAATCCAGAACTCAGGATAGAGGATCCAGGACTCAGGATCCAGGACTAAGGATCCAATATGGGTGTTTGTGCTGTTTTCCTCTCTATAGGAGGCTTACAATTCTATGATTGTATGGCTTGAAACATCATAAAAAACTGCTTTACTGTGTGATGAAAAATCCCTCTATCAAAGACCCATGTCAGAAATACAGAAGCTAAAATAAGCTATTATCTAAGTTTTTCACCTTGCATCAATGACAAACATGTGATTTTCTCGCTTTTCTTGTGCCTTGTATGATGCAGGGTGGCCAGAATCCGTCTAACGGCAGTGTGGCCGATAAAATAAGCGGCTATGATATCGGCCAGCTGGCTACCTCCTCTTTGATGGGTGAGACACACACACACACACACACACACACACACACACACACACACACACGCGCGCGCGAACGCACGTACAATACCAGTTCTAGTTCATGTTGTGTTTCATTATGAATCCAATATATGAGGCTGGATGAGCAGCAAGCTAGGAAATTGCATTAGTAACCGTTGGAGATTCTTGGTGTAATTTTCCATCTCCTTCATGCTTTTTCTCGCTCTTACTCATATGCTGTAATGCCAGTGTACCCAGAGAGGCATGAGTGAACAATCAGGTAGAAGTTCACACATGTTTTCTCCTCTCATTTGATTTTCTCCCTCGCTTTTGATTTTGGCATCCACTACTCTACATCCTGCGTCTGCCTGCCTCATTTCCACTTCTTCGGGAAGGTTAATTATGAGACCTAATGTGTTATGCTTTGCTGAACTTTTACCAGTGAAAGTTCCTCTATTACCCTGACAGTATAATTATGAAGGCTGTGAAAACCTCATGAATACATTACATAAATACAGACATTCAGGCAGACAGCTGAGGGGCTGACACCTGCTCTGAGACTTACAGAACCGGTCCAGTAAAAAATAAATTGAAAAAGCTTTTTGACATTTACTCAGACTCAATCGCTTTTCAGTCATCACGTTAATTGGCGGAGCAAGTTCTGCTGAGTTGTGCAATCACAAAGTGCAACTGACAACCTTACTGCTCAAATCAGATCACACTGTGCAAACTCAAATATTGTTGTACAAATATAATTACCGTAATTTTCGGACTATAAGGCGCACCTGAATATAAGCCGCAGCAGCGGAATACCACTCTCGGTTCCACTTTTACTTTTGCGCGCTACCTGTCTCACTCTTTTCCGGCCTCCAGCTTTTCCTGCTGGAACCCGCCGCTTAAAGGTGGGGGTCCGCGGACCGGCCATAGAGCCCATAGAGTTAAAGGTGTTGGCCGTTAGCTGTAAAAATCCATAGATTAGCCGCACCGTTATATAAGCCGCAGCGTCGAAAAATAGGGAAAAAGGCGCGGTTTATAGCCCGAAAATTACGGTATACTAAGACGAATAGATTGCTACATTTGTTCTCTTTTTCATGATGAGGTTTGATAGATGTATCACGCCAATGGGATTTTATTAACAGCAAACGGCTAAAGCCCACACATTTAGTAGTGTTGAAAAATCCCGAGGGTTTATCACTATGACATTATTCAGGTGCTCAACAGATTTCATGCAGACCCAGCATGAACATGCTGATCAAATATAATGGCCATAGCAAATAGATATTTTCCACGTACAAGTTGAACATTTGGTCTAATCAGAAGGCCATCAACTAAATTAGCCATTAAACGTGAAGCACTTTGTTGAAAATGGTTCACTGTTTCGAACCTGGTGTCCTTATAGTTTAGGTCGTTTTTGGTTGGCTAGGTAAAACAATGACACAAATTTTACTCAGGAGACCAGAGTTTGTGAAACTAAAAGTAAACACGTTGAGTAAATATAAGTTAAGCTAGGTTAGTCCTATGCTACGTCACATATTTAACATCATAACTACACGCAATTATTATCTTAAATATTTGTATCTAAACCTAACCAAGCATCTAGCTGTGATACCTCAGTTATGAAAGCATGACACTGAAAGCATGAGTGGTCTAAATTCAGCACAACATCACTACTGCTAGACCTCCGCATGTTAGCATGCTTATGTTAGCATTCAGCTAATACCACCACTAGACCATAGTACAAACTCACAGAGCTGCTAGCATGGCTGCTGACTGTCTAATAGTGTTTGCCAAATGTCATGTTTTTTTTTGTTCCACCGTCACGGTTGCAGCTTTGACTATTTTAGTTCATTGTTTCAGCCCACCTGAGCTTGAAACTAACACTCTTTTCTTGCTAACAGCATTTTACAGCACTTGCCCATTTTACCCTTTTAGGATGTGATTGAATCTGATTTTTCTCGAATTATTCCCATATTGGCTGGTAAACAACAAAGCTCTGAATGCAGCACCTACATCTTTCATCTCACTTCATGTTTGTCCATCTGTCTGTGTTTGTTCCTCCGCTCTGTTTCTGCACAACATACAGCAGGGAGTCACGCCTCACATAATGCAATAATGCATTCTGTCTATTTTTGCAAAGGGACTTATTCCTGACTGACTCTGGTGTCTTCATTCAAACGTGTAGCCATGTGTATACTGTAGCAAAACAGTACACAAGACGGAAAAATTCAATCGTTGCTTACAGCATACAATCATTAACTGGTTTCCTAACTCACCGGTTTCTCCTACAATTAGAGCTCGTTAATAAATTAGAACAATGTTAAGCAAGTACACATGGATGGAATAGACATTCCTGCATGGCTATGACACACATTGTTTTGTTTTACCAATAATTATTTTTGTTTTCTGCAACCCCACAACCCCACCTACCAAAGGAGGCTGTTTGGGGAAAAACACAACATTATTGGTGATACCCTTCATTAAGATCCAGGCAATCCTGCCCATAAATCTAAAAAGAAAAAGTCTCTAAAGACTGGCTATAGCTGGGACATTACAGCTGGACTTTTAAAACATTTTTGACTGGTTACATTTTATGTGACACAAATGTTGGTGACGTGCAATAGTGCAGATTTAGCAGCTAACTTTTGCGTCGGACATTGGCCTCAGCAGTTTGAAAAGATCCATAACAGAGCTTGTGAATACTTACATTTGGCAGGTGGCTAGAAGCTAAACTCTTAATGAAAATCCACTCAATAACCTTTATTATATATACAGGTTATGTGTATATGCTGCCCCTAAGTGGCCCAAATAAATCAGTTAACGCAGTTTCATGCTAACACACCTAATATAATGCAATCCTTTTCATTTTCTTCAAACTGGCAATTAGACATTTTTCTATATTTCTTCTTGTATACGAACAATAGAATGGAATTCATATAACTTTCATTCATAGTTGGAAAGAATAATCAACTGCAATATAACCCTATGAGGCCAATATACTGTAGGGACATGCAGTTTCAGTTTTCAATACTATATTGGCTGTACTATAGCTACTAATCAGCAGAGAAATTGGCTATCATGCTGCTTCCCTCTGAATTCGGACACATGATTATTCTGTGGCCTGCGATGTTTGCCAAGTATGATTTGCTCCTTTTTAAAACTGAATTGTGGACAGTAATGCCAAAATATCCAATTTATACAACAAATGGGATTTGTTTCTGTGTGCACATGACTTGAATAGATGCAAACATAGCTTCCTCACCATTGAGCCAGAACAGAGCCTCATTACAGTCAACACAGTGTGAGCGCAGAGTGAGAAAGCACATCCTCTGGGTGTTGGACTTAAACAGAAATACCACGTAGGGGTTTCTTTTCTCTTTCAATTAGCCAAGGCTCTATTACTTTCCCGCCACCCTTATAACCTTCTCCTTGTTCTGCTTACTTTACTTACTAACTTTAACCTTTCCTCCTCTTTCTCTTTTTACATTTTGCCTTTCAACCTTTCCTTTTGGCTCGCCTCTTCATTTCCCAAGACCTTCCTGACCTTGTCTCCTGTGATTAAAAGAGATGATGGCTCCTTTGTAGACTTGCCCAGTGATTACAGGTTATGAATAACATATTACTGCAGAGATTAGATACTGCTCGACAAGAGTCCATTTAGTTAAAGCAACAGGGCTGCAAATTTGAGTCAGTCACAATAATTAGGGCCTGAGATTTCACTTGGACTTTTCTTACTGAAAAAATGCCCTTATCTATTTCTTAATGGATGCAGTTCTGATTAGATTTAATTGAATGTTCACAGTCGGCACCAAGCACATACAGAAAATATATTTTGAGCCTTATAGAAAGTGACAGACAGACCTTGAAACGTCACGTTGCTTGAGTTGTTTATGTTTAATTATGTTCTAGACAAAACTAAAGTCATGTAAGAGGCAGTACAACTGCAACAAAGTCAATGAAAAGATGCAGATTGGTGCCAGTGTTCTGTTGGACCCACCTTAAAGAGGCACCGTTGTGCTTTTTGGGGCAATCCTTTTCATTTAGTGTGTTATATTGTTTGCTATGCATGTAAATAGACTGCAAAGGCTAAGAGGGTTTTCTCTCCACCCCCCTGCCTGAAACGCCTCGATTGGACACTTTGTTTACTTCCGTAACATAATGACATCTATAGGTAACACTTGCGCTTATGTTGGCTAGTGCTCCAACACATTGTAGGTGATCATCTCTAAGCCAATCACAACAGAGCCGGCCAGCTAACCAATCAGAGCAGACTGGGCTCTGGTTTCAGACAGAGGGTGAAAAGAGGTGCTGCAGCACAGGCAGTATGAGGAAAAATAAAGAGCTTTGAACATAAAAGCATGTACACATGTCACAGTAGAGCACAACATACAAATATGAACCTGAACATTTGCATAATAGGGCCCCTTTTTAAAACCACAATTTATGCACTGTTACTTTTTTATTTGTTTGTTTACGTTACGCTACAGTTAACACTGCCATTTTAAAATTCAGTATTCAGAGAGCTGATGGACTTTTTAAAGACATAACTTTCCCACAAAGCTTTTAAAACAGCTCTGGCATTCAACAAGTTTTACTCAAGTCTAGTTTAACCAACTAGAGCTGGAAATGAATTACAAAATTAAAAAAATGTGTTATGCCGTTATTACATTTAAATTTGTGGAAATTGAAATTTCTTTCATATCAAGTTCTAATAATATTTTTTTTCTCTTTCAGTCTACTATTAAATGACCTTCATGCAGCGCTGCTGAAGTGCAGCCAGTTATGAACAATTACATTTACAATCGTCTCCAAAATCACCTCTGGTGATGTCATTTCCAATCTTCTCCAATTACATTTTTTATGGAGCTCCATATTGGAATGCACAAGCAGAAAGAAAAGTGTTTATTATGCTGAAAGTGTAGAATTTCTATTCAAGTATTACAAAACAAATGTTATTTGTATCCCATCTTTCATACAAGAAACGCAGCACAAAGTGCTTTACACTGAGGGAAGACAGACAGAGAATTAACATTAAAACAGGGATTTAACGCCACTAAGATAAAAAAACATGATACAAAGAATGCATAATATAAGATGGTCAATAAAACCCACTGAAACATTTAAAATATTAGAGTTAGCCCCCATATTTACCAGATCAACACTTCAACAGGATCAAAATGCTCCATTCTCTTCTTTCTATATCAGGATTAGATATTAGATTTTCTGAAGTATTTTCCCTTAAGTACACTCTACATATAAAACCATTTTATTCCTCCATGCGTCTTCTTTTTCCATTTCCATTTTCCCGTCCATCGCTGTTTTTTTCAATGTTCTGCCCTCTTCCATCCTCTCCTGTCCACCCCTTCATGTAGCCTGTCACTTTATCTCCTCCCCTCAGATTGTCCCCTTCTTCCCTCTGCTACCACACTTACTGTATGTCCACCTAATCCACTTTATCAACATGTGTCCTTCTATCTGTTCCCCTCATTTAGGAGTGGTGGCCACAATAAAGGAGCACATCACCAAGCCGACGACGATGGCCCAGGGGCGCGTCGCCCACCTGATTGAGTGGAAGGGTTGGGGTGGAGGAGGCCAGGGTGGGGGGGGCATGGGCAAATGGACCTGCGGGGGGGTGAGTGCTGAGCTGCAGGAGGATGAACAGTTCTACTCCCAAATGACGGACGAGATCAAGGAAGCTCGCTTCGCCGCAGGTGAAAATAAACGAGGGAATCAAAGTGAAGAAAAATAAGATGTTGGAGATGAAGTGTCGCTCAAATCCCTCGGGTTGTGGTTTCTGTTAGATTATCTTGTATAGAGGGAGCATCTACACAAATCAATAGTCCTTAAGACGAGCCATGACAGTGACTCGAATCGAGCGCACTTATTGGATTTCCCCTTGTTTGTGGAGGAAAAAACAACTGGGGGTAGACTTCAGAGAAAAGGAGCACTAAATGTGTTTGTTTCACAGGAGTGGCGGAGCAGTTTGCCCTGGCAGAGGCAGCCATGAATGTGTGGTCGATGACCGACAGCTTAGAGCAGCCCCCCACCAGTTTACAAGGTTGGTCCTGTTAAAGGAGCTTCTTTTGGTCCTTATTTTTCTCTTTTCATTGTAGTTTCCTCCATGGAGGGAACAGCGAACTTTGCAGATCCATTGTTTCTGAATACAAATCAAGCAAAAGATTAAAACATTGACTTTAATATCAAAGTCCTTATTGGATCTTCTTTCTTCAACAGCAAGGATAGGGTTTTGAGGCAAATAACACGAGACTGAATAAATTGCTGCACATCATAATTGATTTTATGAATGCTACGGGAATATATGACATGACAATAAATTGTAAAGCATGTCTTAGGAAAGGTGTATATATATATATTCTTAAAGACCTGGTTTGCACTAACCCACAGGAGTAGAAAGATCATGAGCAGGATGTGTGCAGCTGTTAATTCTTTTCAGTTTTTTACCACACTAAGCACTGATGTATTGTCATACTTTCCGAGACTGTTGAATGCAGAGTGACATTTCTCCACAGTTAAAGTTCTGCCAGGAAATTGTGCCAAAATATCCAAGGTCCCTTAGAGGAGGGACCTTGTTGACTTAGCCATGACTCTTCATCCAGCGTTAATCACTGGACAAAATGTACCATTAATATTATTAATATACATTGAGCTTAAAGGGGTCGTTTGAGTTGTTTGCGGTTGGGTTGTTAAAGATACTCATCCATTTCCTACGGTAGCAAAGTAGTGAATTCACGCGGCAGTAGCCTTTCTTGCGGCAAGGTTAGTAAATATTCTAAATATGGCAAACACCTTCACATTTAAAGGTAGTCCTTTTTTAGGTGGCTTGAATACATGCGTTTTGGCTGCTGCCGCCTTTAACAGCGGTACATTGCTTAGCTTACATGATGGATATCCTGTTGTCTCCAAAACTGGGTGTGTGCAGACCATTACACTATGTACTATAGGTAATACAGAACGGGCTATAGAAAAGTATGATAATGCTAGCATCGTAACATGCATTTGTATTTATTTTTGTTTTGAGTATTTCTTTACCAAATCGTAGCCATTAGCTAGAGAAAATGTCAAAAATAAATCTCAGACAGTATTGCCATCAGTAAAAATATTTCTAATTGTAATTCTTATTTAAAAACACGTTGTAAAGCTTTTGTTGAAACCTACTTACAAAATGATATTTTATGATGTATTATATATTGTAGGTTACTAACTGGAGAATATCCACTGTATTTCAATATCTCAAAAATGAGTCCTTGCACATATGCCCCTTGTGATTTTACAGGATTTGCCATACAGAAATAGCTTTCTCATGGGATAAACACTTATAAAAGCTACATGCAGCAGCTGCTTCAGAGTAAGTGTCACTTTTTTAAATTAAATTCAAGCACTGAGAGCATCAGTGCTATTTCTATGATATATCAGAGTGAAGAGCTTTTGAATCCTCTTCAACCCAAAAGGTCCCAGCTGTTTGGAAAATGATTTCTACAGTTTTTCATGTAGCAACCATTCCACTGACACTTATTTTCCCTCCTCAGCAGCACACAGCCACTTCCTGTCACAGTTCCTGCTGGACGGTGGAAGTCTCAGCGTTCCTCAGCACCTGTACCACATCCACGCCCAGACTTATGGCGACAACAGGGGGGCCAACCTCGTCTTTCCCCCAGCGGTGGACCCATGGGTGGACCCCATTTCCTCGACGTCCAACAGCCACCAGGACAGAGGTCGCCCCCTGCAGGTGGACAGAGGCACTGTCACTGCAGAGGCTGCCGTCAGACACGTGGACAGCAGCTCACTGTCCGAAGATGACGTTTTCTATAACTAGCAGGCCTGCAATCTTGATGCCAATCTCTCAAATGAGCCTTACTGAGAGGATTTGAGCCAACAGCAGGGACTGATTTGAAAGATAAACACAGACATCTGTGAGACATCTCAAGAGGCTATTTCTCAAATGACCTGTCTGGGCCCGGTCCTCAGAAACAGAGAACCCAGATTGTATTTTCTCCCCTGTCCAGTTTATACTTTTGTGAATGTACATAGTTCGATTTTAATTTTGTATCCAGTGTACATTACACACTTTCATATTATAGGTAGAACTGAACTGTGAAGAGTCAAAAGATACTGGTGTTAAATATCTTGCTAATAAACATCAATTTTAATATACGAGCTGTCCAGTGCTTATTTTTTCTTCCCATTGAAGAATCAAACACAAGTCCAAACTAAAGCAGAAAATATGAAAGAAAGTTTTTTATCTTGAGAAAAGTCCATTATCTTGGACCATACCCCCGATTAGATATATTACAAATATGTTTCTATCTGAGAGCGAAGGGTGAATTGGTGTGGAGAAAAGACGAGTGTAGAGAATCGCAAAGGGAGATGAAACCGAATCAGAGTGCGTGTGGTCGGTGTGTTTTTCAGCTTTACATCAGGCAGCGTGGCTGAGTATTTCACAGTGAGGGATGGTGGGATAATGGAGGTGTCGGCGTCACTGGTCATGGTTTTTTCTTTAGCATGGGTTCACACAATTTCCGGGACATTAATCTGAACATTCGATCGGCCATTCAAAAATAAGTTTATCTTGGGAAAAGTACTAATATAAAGAAATGAAATGTGCAATAAATAAAACAGATTATGATGTAATGGCTGATATTTTTCCTCGTTGGAAAAACTGTCAAAGATTAACATTTAAAGAAAACTTTATGGATACTTGATTTCCTCTTTCACATCTTATTTGATGTTTTTAGCCATTAGTCGACACCACAAGTGTTATCTTTAGAGAATATATACACTCAAGATGTTTTTGTTAATGAGTATTCACATTTTTTCCTTGGTTTTGATGAGTACACCAGAAAAGCAATTAGAAATCATTTGGACTGCACTAAAGATTTGATTAAGTTGAGCAGGAACGTTGTTACCAAGGCAACTGTCCTGTTCATGATGTGAATATGAGAAATCACTTAATATCGTTACCTCAAAGCCACTATGAAAAGAATAATGCAATTCATTTTCTTTTGATAGAACATTTCAGGGTTGGTTCACTGGTGCAGTTTACATGTGTTGGGGGTGGGGGGGTATATTCATGTATACAATATCACAGGGAACCTTTTCTGATGCTGCCACTAGGGGGCGTCAACGCTAGGCATTTTAAGATTAAACACATGGCAGTTTTAATTTAGGACTCAAAACCTTTCTTGAGACATTTTATTTGAAGTATTGTGGTGGAGTGTGCATCGAACTGCCTGCATCACAACATGATGTTGATAACACTTTTTCGATTTTTTCGTTGCCAGGCAATACAGTATGTGTTGACTTTTTTCAAAGAAAGTTTCTAAGGTCTGCAAAAAGATGTATTAAGTCATTATATTTCATATAGCTGAACATACAGTGTTACGTACAGAAGACAGATTTTTTCCTATTTTGGAGCCAGGATAGCATACAGGCATGTTTTTGTTCAGGGATTCCTGGGTCCCACTCGCAGTGAGGGGGCAGCTAGCCGATTGGCCAATACAGAGCGTGGTGCACGCGCTGGAGTGTATGGTTTAGCTACGACTGAAATAAATTGAATCCAAGGGCTGAAGCAAGAGGGGAAAATCTCTTAATAACACATCAGCAGGGTTACATGGCGTAAATTGGTGCACAAACTTTTTTTTCGGCTTTTGTTTTCAATCCCACATATTCAGGCTTTTCACACATGCTGTTCTCCTTGGTCTTAGAAAGCCTTCACACGGGCAAATCCCAAAGTCAACCAGACTTTAAAACATTGATGTGTTTTTTTTTTCCAAGAAACACAATAATCATCTGGCTTAAAGTTGCCATTGTTACACAAAGCTAAAGTACAAAAGCTACTTTAAAATTCTACAATTTAAAAAAGGATCACATGTTACAACTGCCATTAAACCCAGGAAAATGCAGTCTTTATTGTATAGCCCTGGGTTTAGGTTAACCTGGGTTAATTGTGTTTTGGGTACCTTAGCTAGGGCGTAAATTCTAGAGAGTGACACACAGTGTGAAAAGCACTATTATAATTGGCTTGGCACACTTTTAATATTGCAGTGTCACACAGTGCAGGTTGTGCTATCTCCTGCATGAGATCTTGCAATATAATAAAATGCCAGATAGAAAGCTGTAATAAACGTTTTTTCTCTGAGACTACTCCTCAGTAATGATTGTCGGCAAATATTTTTAATCTAGGATATTGAAGAACTGATGTCATAACCAGAGCCAGGTTTATATTGCAGCTGATCAAGACTGAGATGGTTTCATGTTTACTTAAAAGTAAAAGGTCAAGGGATGAGCTTATTTCTTGTGTGTCGCTTAGATTTCTTTGGCCAAGTCTTCTAATATCCTCTTCATCTGTAGCAGAAAACAGAGAAAGAAATAGGGAAAATAAGTCTTTGAATCCATAAGTAGCCATTATGCCTCCTATAATGTTAACAGATGCACACAGCGACACAGTTTTGTTTACAATTTGCATCCCAACTAGTGACAGAATCAAGCTGTTTGTGTCATTACTTACATTTGTGAGCCAGAATACACACATTACATCATTACCTCTGGCCAGGTGATCAGCCCGAGCAGCCTTCCCCTGTCTGCGACAAACAAGGTCTGAGCTCCAACCAGACTCAGGATACTGTGGGCCTGTGGGATGCAAAGTTTTTTTTTTTAAAGTAACTGATTCCATAAAAGTGGTCATTGTTTTGTGAAATATGCAGAGAGTTTAAACAGAAAATTGATGGCAAGGAATCATACTATGCTCAACTAATTTATGACAAGAGACCAAGCAGCAACCTGCGAGTCTGAAAAAGTACAGTATATCCAATTCAGAAGCACTTTTAACATTCCTTCTAATGGCCAGCAGGGGGCGACACCTCTGTTTGCAAGAAGAAGTCTGATTGTATAGAAGTCTATGCGAAAATCCTACTGTTCCTACTGAATTTGTTAACTCAGTAAACACTTTCCTAATTATATTATCGTCTCCATCTTTAGTTTAGAGTATTCTTCAATACAGCACTAAGTTCGTTTTGTAAATAATGGTCCCATTTAGAGCAAAATAGACAGGTTGCTTCCGCAGAGTTCTACAGCAAAAGCTCAAGTTTTGTATCAAGCCTGTTTTATGCATGTCAAAATTAGCAACACAGTTCATATCACAGTAAAAACGTAAATCACAGATGCGCCTTGTTAGCCAAGCTAGGTAGGGTGAGTGTTATCTAGTAAATTAGCTGTCTTTTCGCTCTTCATCAACTCTACCCTCTGCTCCAAATATTATGGTCACTTTGGGTTCGAAAAAAACAAAACAAGATGGCGACGGACAAGTAGCCAAACATAGGGCTTTTACACGATAGTCCAGTCAATGTGAGAAAGCAAATAAGACTATTTTACAAAGTGCTGAACTTTTCCTTCAAATTCATTGTATAACATTCCTCAAAGTCTTCCTACCTCTTGAACAGTGTTGTGAGGTGATAACAGAACAGAGGTCGGGTGTATGCAGCAGACCTCATCCAGATGTTTCTCCAGAGCCTGCAGAGAACAGCACAAACAATTTCACATTTGTATGCATTTTCTGTCAACGCATTCTCAATCCCAACTCGTCACATATTGACCATCGGTCAGGGCCCCTTCACGTCACCTTATTACGCACTGGGTACCCCTCGAGCGTCAGTTTTCAACGGGCAGGGCGTCCCATAGCAACCTGGTCTCACCAAAATACGTGAAATGAACACGACTCCTTAACACGTTTTGGGGACACGAAATCAAACATCCCCAATGTAAAGTGAATGAGGATCCTTTTTCGTGGTGGACAAGCACATTTCTGCAACGTCCCGCAGTGAGCTTAATGTTGTTTTCTACTCTTATAAAACGTTTTTTAAAATCTACTACTAGAACACGCTCTTGAATAAAGATAGGGAATAACCTCCATAATAAAGTAGATTTTGACGCTCGATGGGTACCCAGTGCGTAATAAGGTTGCGTCAAGGGGCCCTGACCGATCGTCAATATGTGACGAGTTGGGAGTGAGAATGTGTTGTTTCTGTCAGATGCATGCTTGTCATTCAGCAGTATTCAGTACTATTTGTGAAATGAGGAGTCACAGTTGTGTCTATCGCTGAAAACCTTATTACTCTCTCTGTTGTTGGACATTGCTCCAATATGTACTTTAAAACCGTTCTGATAAACAGCTCAATTTTTCTACATTATGCTCTAAAATGGATGTACTTTCATGAAATGAGCTTTTACGTCAGCCAGCAGTCCTGTCTGCACATTCTGCTCTCATCCTTGTTTGACATTCAGTCGATGCCAACTGGATTGTAGAAATCATGGCCTGCATTTTAAACAGCATCACACAGTTCACTCCTCTGCCTTGGTTCTGAACCCTGCAGCTACCCGTCTGACTCCTTGCATCTTTTTACCTCGCTCTCGCAGTGACGCAGGAACATCAGCAGCTCTGCACGAAGAACAAATCCCACAATAATCTGCGACTCTTCAACAGAAGAGAGGAGAGGGAATCAATTTATTTGCCACAGTCTGCTACAAATCCTCTGTTACAAACATGAAAATGTGTTCATGTGATTGCGGCTCAGCTGGCCAACTGACACTTTTTTCACACTTGTCGGCTCCTTATTGAACACTTCACACGGCTGAACTGCTACAGCTTTTGAAACGCTTACAATTTTTCAGCAATTCTCTCAAAAACTCTATTCGGTATCATAGATGCCTGACGTTTCCTTTAGGATCCTGAGGACTTTGTGCCAATTTTCCACACCCTCAAATATATGTTATACTCTTTCTTGGAAAATGTAAACAAAATATGACTTCTTGGCAAGAAAATTGGGGTAAAATACTATCAAATTCTCTCTGCTCACCATGTGAGTCCACCACAGGGATTTGTGAGTCGGTGCTGGTGTTGACAGCCAGTTTGACCTCCACCGGCCCAGCAGCTTTCTGAAGCTTCACTAATATCGCTCCTAAAACCTGTCCCACTGGTGTGGAGGGAAGCCTGCAAAAAAAATTTTTAAAAAGCGGCTGTGTTTAAATGTAAAGATGGTGGTGACAAAAGAGCATCTGACACGTTTGCGCCCAGGTACAAATTATTATGACACTCATGTCGTCACATTCAGAATTATAACTTTTGACTCTGGAAAAACATATTTAAGTTGTGCCTGAGAGTCTAGTTTGCCGCCTCCGCCTGAATGCTGTCGACAAAAAGCTGTGGGTGATAACGACTTGATTTCTATCCAAGCATATTATTAGGGGCTGAAACTCAGTCTGCGTGAGAGACAGATGAAGAAGGAAAAACGTCAGTGGGGCTGCTGATTGCTATCACCAAGGCGGCGTGCTGACATGTATCATGTTCAAAGCACACGTTGAACTAATTTGCATTCTTTTGACATCACCCAGACGACTACTGTTTGAAAAGAATCTCTAAGGTGGAATACATTTCCCACATAAGCCATGTAGCCTACAGAACTTTCACAATGGAAATGAGTTGACTCCTTATTTATACTTTCATTTAGGGCTTTAAAGTCATATTTAATCATTGCAGAAGGAGGAAAACTAATACTAGAAAAGAACCCTCAGTAGAGTGATCTCTACTAGTCTCCTGGACAACAGCAAAGAAGGAGTCGACTCAATTGTCCCTCCAGGCTCCCTTACATTCAAGATGGCAGCGTATATAAGAAAAACTGGGGATTTTTTCATCAGTTGTCATGTTTATCTACAGCGGATTGGCTTTGGAATTAATATTGAGATTCTTTTTGTTTGAAATAAAGCCCAGAATTGTTCAATTATGTCAGTATTTGAGTTACAGCTAAGGTCAACATGCGGCCTGCAAACAACAGACAAGTGTTGTTTTTAGCCTAGCTGAAAATGTGTTTTCTACCAGCTGTTTAAGAGCAGTTAGGAGTCAGCAGTCATGTATACTCATGATTGTTGTTGTTTTTAGTTATGCGCATATTAAAACACTGCCTAGCATTGATGGCCCTTACACTCTGCCCCTCAACGTGAGGTCGGCCCAGACATTAGGGTTTTTTAAATCAACACTTAAAACTCACTTCTTCTCTCTGGCCTTCTAGCCTTTTCTTATCAAGCTCCACTTTTATGGAATCAGCTTCCAGTTTGTTTTCGGGCGGCCGACAGCCTATCCGTTTTAAGAGTACGCTTAAGACCTTCCTTTTGATAAAGCTTATAGTTGATAAAATAACCTAATGAGAGTGCTTTGACGCAGATACGCTGTGCCTCTTCACCTACATTTTGGTTCTTACTCTTTCACTTAAATCCTAAAAACTTGGATCTTATATTTAAAACTAAGGTTATTACTACTCTTTCTATTTTTTCTTTATCCAAAACCTTTTCCCTCCATGACCTCACAAGGTTTCATTGGAGGGAAACAGGTTTGCAGAGGGGCCTTATCCAAGGCCGGGGAGTGTTATGCCGTAGTCACAGCGTACCTCCTTATCCCGCACCAATTCCAACTAAGGCCCCAGCTGGGACCTTGCTCCCTGCGTGTGCCTGTCTGTGTATTTACATGTTCCGATTAACCGAGCCTCCCCCAAATGTTCTTTTTCTTTTGTGTCTATATCTACGCCGGGATCCGGAGTCGAGGCTGATCCTCTTGCTGTGGTCCTGTGCCCTGGATCCTCTATCCTGAGTTCTGGATTAAGTCGTGGACTTCGGGTCGTGGCTGGGCCTGTCTCTGCGGTCCTGCCTGGGTCTCGTCATACTACTTCCCTGATGGCTCCCACAGGATTGTTGACATCCTCGTGGATTCATCTTCTTATTATAGACACATGCATTTCCAAACATTCGGTCTACCTATGCTGTAAAATGTATTATCTTTTCGATTTACACACGACATCTATTGCACGTCTGTCCGTCCTGGGAGAGGGATCCCTCCTCTGTTGCTCTCCCTGAGGTTTCTCCCATTTTTCCCTTTAAACTGTGGGTTTTTCTCCGGAAGTTTTTCCTTGTAAGATGTCTTAGGTCTTAGGACAGAGGGTGTCGTTTTCTCATACTGATATTCTGCACAAACTGTCCTGTTGTATTTACTGTGTAGTAGGGGTGTAACGGTTCACAAACATTTCAGTACGTACCTCGGTTTTTAGGTCACGGTTCGGGTTCGGTACGTTTTCGGTACAGCAGAAAAAATTATCACAAAACATAACATATATATATATATTTTTTATTATTATTAAACTGTGAATAATGTATTCACTCAAATAAATACAAAATATAATAAAATAAACATTAAGGTGCAGCATATCGATGAACTGAAATAATCTGTATTTGAACTTTACTGTACTAGTACACACAAAACATAAACTAATTCTTCTATTTTAACAACATTTTTGAAATGTATTAGCTTTCCTTTGGTGAACTATTTGTGTTTCTTTTATTTCCACACTCAGAAGATTCACCGCTCCATGACATTCAGTAAGCATTCACTATTCTCTGGAAGGAGGCAGAGATTTATCATGTGTATAGATTCTGGGCGAAACCAGCAAACTGCCAGAGTAGATTTATTGTGAGCTCCAGAGTCATCAGGACATTAGACATCAAGCAGCCCAACCCACGCTGGCCCAATGGCACACTCAGTCCTTTAAAATCAGTAGCATACACTCAGTCATTGGGATAGGAAGATTTAGGGAATTTTATAATAGATCCCAATAATGTTGATCATGGAGAAGATCATGGTAGAGAAGTGAAAAAGATACCCTGATTCAATACAGGTATTATCGTGTAAGAAAGAACAGAATCACATAATTTATATATATTCATTGAGTCAATATATTTCTGAAAGGGGGTGTTTGATTATTGTTCACTGTAAAGGTTGTTTACTAAGAAAAAAAAGGTGTACAAAAACGGTATATTTTATATAAATATTTTGGAAAGTGATTCAGTTTGTTTTAGTGTCATTTGAAAAATATTAAAGCTTATTTTGATTATAATATCTGGAAAATATCAGGAATTGCATTATTTCGACTGGGGTATTAGACTGGTGGAGGAATGAGTCCTAAAACTCTGGAATGAGTTTTTTTTTTACTACGTCCGGTTCCATCGTCACAGGTCAACGGTGTTGGTAGTTAGATGCCTGAAATAAGGTCTGTGGTTAACACAAGCTTTTGAGATGTTCACGTTTTGTTCTGCGACATAACATAAGTCAATGAATACCCTACTGGTGAATGTCCGAAGCTTCTTTGTGTCATAAAAACGGACTAAATGAGCCTAATAAACGTCATCAGGCCAAACATTAGCCGCCTTTTGGTTAGCAAGGATGACGCGCAGCCATGTGACCATGCTGTAGATCCTTTGTAACCTTAACTTTTTACGTCTGGCAATTGCATTTAGGCTTAAAAATCCCTAAGTAGCGTTAATATGTGGTGATGATCCTACTGAACTAAATACAATAAAAGTGTTTGCCACAGATTTGAATTTATACAATAGAAAAACCAATGGAAAATGCGGGGAGCCCTTGTGATGCCAACTGTTGGTTTGGATGTGAAATGTTATTTTCATATTGCCTATTGTCTAATACACATGCACCTGCAAACTAGTCTTCATAAGCTGGGGGTGGAGATGTCACCATTAATAGGTAATTGCAATTTACAGTTGTCAGCAGGCTCAAAGTCACACCCAGCGACATTACAAAAAAATAGAAAGGAACCCCCCCACACACACACACACACACACACATCACTGCTCATGCTCCCTCTGTATATTAGCTCATTATTCATTCAAGCACCTCCAGAGATACAGCGTGTGTGTATCAGTGTGTGATTCCATGAATGGGGGAGAAACTGACAGATACAGGTTGGAAGAGGATGGACGTTATCAACTGACATGTCAAGACGTGTGTGTGTGTGTGTGTGTGTGTGTGTGTGTGTGTGTGTGTGTGTGTGTGTGTGTGTGTGTGTGTGTGTGTGTGTGATCATGTTCGATTATATGCCTGTGTTATTATGCATGATGGAGTGTTTGCAGTAAAGTGAGTCTGTGTGTATGTGTGAGAGAAATGGGTGTATATTTAGGAGCTCTTCGATGCGATGGGACTCCACACTGCAGGGCCTGGCCACCTGCCAAACTCCTCTGTTACCATGGAAACATGCTGGCAGCCTGGCATCCGAGGGGAGCAACCCAATTTAACCTTTTTTGGCCTGTTTCTGAAGCAGTGGTTAGCTCTCTGCTGCCCACATCACAGAGCGGAAATACTGCACAGCTGTACGCATGAGCATGAAGGACGGAAACACACACACACACACACACACACACACACACACACACACACACACACACACACACACACACACCACCGTCAGGCACATGCACTTCAGGGATTTAGCTGACTTTGGAACAACTAGCAGTGTGAAGAAAGGCAGTCCCACCTGCTGCCTGCTCTCCTCCAGCCGAGCTTTCTGCACCAGGCGGACGAACTCGCTGCGTTCTTCGTAACCAACGGCAACATTACTGCCGCCAGGGATGAGCTCCACCATCTGGCCGTCGCTCAGCAGGGTGGTGTAAACCAGCTCCTCCCCAAACCTGAACTCATACGTCTCCTGGTCCATGTTCTCCATGGCATCCAGCAGGTTCACCTAGACACAAACCCACAAGTAGTTTGAGACGGTGGCTAGAAAAGTCCGGATTAGTGGCTACGTGAGACACTTAGAGACTGTGTTCGTTATGTTGTAATGCAGAGAGGAAAGATTAAAAAGGGTGTAGCATGAAGTATGGCATTTTAACGCTAAGTGCAGAAGAGTGGGTAAGATAGAGTAAAATGGATACTTCCTTCTTTGAAAAGTGTTTGTTGTAAATTTCATATAGAACATTTTTGCTGAGTTATTAACATTACTTTCAACCTTGTTTATGAGCTTTTCTGTTTGATGTTTAGAGACACGTATCAGCAAAAAGATGAAGACTGGTTCGGAAATAGATTTGAACTCAGTGTGGTCCGGGATCTGTCAATCTGAACGCGGCCAGAATTCTTAGACAAAAACACGCTGCTGGCTTTTTACTAAGCATATCTGTATTTTAATAGTTGATTCCCAGACTCAACAATCTCAAAATGGAGTCTATAAAATATCAATCAAATATCAATCTCTCTCCTACCAGTGCTGAACAACTCAGTCTGCAGAGCCTACGTTTGACATTCAATGTGTTATCAGGTGAAATCATTTTAAAGTCCTCACCAGCACAGAGTCTACAGCGGGGAAGTCTTTGTTCCAGCTGACTGCCTCTCCGGTCAGCTGCTTCCACACGAGCCCGGGCAGCGCCAACACCTGGGGGGTCGCACACAGAGGGAAATCCACTCTGAGCATACATTCATTCTTACTTTATTGACATACAGTTCATGGAGAGCAAACGGCACTCACCAGGAAGTCTTTTCCTCTGAGGGCCGCTCCCATCAGCTGGCCGATCCACTCGTACTTGTTGAACTCTCTACAGGACGGGTTGGGGACGTAGTAATCTCTGGCCTCTAAGGAGCCCTGAGGAGCAGCAGGTGAAGGAAAACAAGTGTTGATTTATTTGTATTCAGTATTAGTTAGGGGTGGGGGAAATAATCCATACAGCATAGTATCGCGATACTTTGCGTGGCGATGTTGTATCGATACACAGTCAAGTATCGATATTTTATTATATAAACTATTCATATTGCAAATCCAAATGAAAGTTTTTGGTAACAATTGCTTTTTCAATCCACTAGATGGTGCTGAGGTTTTTCTTGTGTGGTCATAGCCATGGGCAGGAAGTTAGTCAAAACAAAGATGGAGTCAGCAGATAGATAAATATATATATAAATATATCGTATCGCAATATTTAGCAAATCGTAGAATCGCAATACTGTTGTATCGTGGCTTAAGTATCGCGATATTATCGTATCGTGGGGAGCCTGGTGATTCCCACCCCTAGTAATCGTCCTGTACCAATTATACTTTGCTAACATTTGTATTTTCTGTAGCTGGTGAGGGTGAGGTGTTACCTGGTTGGACGTGCGGCTGAAGAAGGGCAGCGGCATGGCGCACTCGGCTGAGCAGGGACAGAGTTCCTCCGACATGTCAGCCAGGCTGTCCCGAAACCCTCCTCCCTGATCGATGATCCCCTCGGCGATGAACTTACACTCCCACCACTGGTCGTACCGCGCCGGCCATCTGGCAAACACAGAGGAGAGGTGGATTCAGATCTCAATGGTTTTGTGATTCAGTCAAATTCAGGTAAAAGCCAAGATGAAAGGCTATAAATACACACCTGTAATCCAAAGTCTTCTCAAATTTGTCAGATGGTTTGAGGCCTTCATACACCTGCAAGGAGAACAATGGAAATCATAAAGCAACAGTAACAGCTCCCACAATGCATCAGAGACAGACAGACAAACTGAATAATATTTCCTCAAAACATAATCCCTCCCCAAAATGTTTGATGGTGAAGTATTAGCACACAAACATACCAACACTTAAATTACTCATTATGCAGAAAAGCCCATTTTAGAACAATTCATTGGATTATAACTATTGACCGATTCATTTAGGTGTCGCTTTAATGTTGAAGCAACTAAAAGTAGGGCTTATTAATTAATAGAAGTATAAACTAACAGCAAATAGAAATAGGAAAGTACTTTAAGAAGTCAAGGCAAGTTTATTTCTATAGCACTTTTCAACACAAGGCAATTCAAAGTGCTTTACAAAAATGAAAGACATTAAGAGCATTAAGAGAAACATATTATTATTATTAAGCGCTTTGAGAACCAGGGAAAGCGCTTTATAAATGTAATGTATTATTATTATTATTATTATTATTATGATAAAATGGCATTTAAAAACACTTTGAACATTTAACAGTCCAGTACTTGAGTGCATGTACTTAGTCCCTTTCTATATAGTGTATAGAGTACCTGATTGAGCACAGCGTTCTTGCAGCTGGGGTCCAGAGAGGGGTTGTCTCGGTGCTCCATGGCCAGCCGGCGGTTGATGTAGAGTGGGGGCATGAAGTTGGGCTTGCTGGTCTCCGAGTCCTTCAGGCACTGAGTGATGAGCGCCGAGCGCCGCTTGGACAGCAGCAGGAACTGCTTTATGCTCTACAGGAGCGCAGGAGAAAGACATTTCAGAGTTATTTCATTAAGTAGAGATGCACTGAGAAATGATCAGAATGAACAAATAAAGCATTAAAATATTTATAGAAGTTGTAGATGTTGTCAAAACAGCATGGTAGCACAAACTATAATATCTGTTATGCACTGTTTAACACTACTGGAACGGCCTTTTTCAAACCAATGTTCCTATGAATACCCTTTATTTAATAAGGAAGACCCCTTGAGATTGACATATTATAATGATTAATATAATAATAATAAAAAAACAAAGATTCAAATTTACATTTAATAGACAATAGATGTTAACCTGTTGGTCTTTATTGTGTCCACAGGGGCACTGAAGGAATAACATGTTGCTTATTGTATACAGCGTACTGTATATGGAGAGAATAATGATAAGTGCTAATAAGAAGCGCATGAGGATATTCAATAAACACATTTATGAGTTATAACCAAACTCTTTCAAAATGCTGTTTCACTGCAAATAAACAAAGTAAGAGCAGCTACTTCGGGCTTCATTATTATTCATTGTTCGTCTTGCATATATTAAAAGCTTCACAAAGACTCACTTTGATCTGGTTGAAGGTTCCCAGACTGTAATCCCAGGCGGGAACCAGGTGTGGGATCAAGCTGTCCAGCAGACAGATGAACCTGAGAGAGAGGACACAACAACAACAACAACAACAACAACAACATTGAGAAATGCTTCATGCTTAGAAATCGAAGGACCTGTCAAAGCATTGCATCTGACTTTTAATTTCTAACATTTAAACCACTTTGGAGTAAATGTATTGCACCCATTTGATCAGATTTTTTACAAAAAACAGCTCATTTTGGGGATGAACATGAAGTGTACCTCTGTATGACGAGTGCTCTGTGGTACAGGACGTCGGGCGTGTTGCCCTGCAGGCGGGGGTAGCGCACCAGGTTGGAGGACTGGAAAACATCTGCGTTCAGACCCAGGTCTCTCTCACAGGACGACTTAATCTTCAAGCCTCGGATCCGGACGTCTATGCCCTCATCTGCAGGATCAGAGACTTTATTTAAGGTTCACAAAAACACTTTAGAATCTTTTGATGTCTTCAAAACCTGGAAAAAAAGACACAAATACATAACAACAGGGTTTACCGATCGATTTCACACAGATACGGGACTTAACCAGGCCTGGCCATAATAGTATATATATAGACATTTAATTGGATTTATTAACTTACCTGTATTTATTTAATCGAAAATAAGATGATTGATTTTCACTTGTTCCCTCTAATCCAGCGCATCCAAGACATTGCAAGTGGGCCGCCAAATCATTTGCAAAACATTATGATTGGTTGGGAAACATTTTCATTATTAAGAATTTTTTTCCCTTCCTTTCTATTTCTCAATCCTCCTTAGCAACGGTCATTACAGCCCTTGACAACGGTCTGTACTACTGGATTTACAACGTGTCACATGTTCTGAATTGAACAATCAGAACTTTATTTAGCCTCCGTATTGTTTATGGTTGAATGTGGGCTGCAATTTCTTTTCGATTGTTAAGTGAGTTGAAAAAGGTTAGGAACCGCTGCTCTAATCCAAGCTATATTGAATTATTGTTCATCTGACTTTACAGAGAAGCCTGTTCAAAAGCCTTACCTCTACATTCCTCAATCCGAACCTCAATCACAGGCAGGTGAGCCGTCATATCCTCCAGCACACACACCTCTCCAATCAGGTTGCTGGAGGAAAATATAAATTATTATTATGAACGTTTTTTGGGAAATATGTTGACAAATATATTGTTGAAGCGGCTCACTCGTCTATGGTGACGTCACTGAGCTTCTTCAGGTTGTCTCCCTCTCCTCCGTACACTGTGACTCTTTTGGGCATGTAGTTATCATCTGTGGAGTCTACCGTCAATATCAGCTTACTGGAAAAGCACATGATGTACAATAAAAGGCATGTCCACAAGAAGGATTCATTTGAGATGAGCTTAAAATACATCATAGATGAATGACCAGGAATTCAATCCTGTAAATCCTAAAAATACAAGCTGACATCACGAAACTCCTATTCAAAAGTTCAGAGATTAGATTACAACGTGTAAAATGCTGAAGACCAGCAGCTTCCTCACTTCACCACGGTGCCTCTCCTCATGTGCAGGCGGATCCAGTGCTGGCCCTGCATGCCGTCGCTCTCCCAGAACGTCTCAGGGTCGCCGTCCGTCAGGTAGCTCGCCCCCCCGCTGGGATCCTCCTGTCAGCAAATAACAAGGTACATCTATGAGAAAATAGCTTCACCGGCTGACTCTTAATTACATCTTTTTAACAGGGACTCAATTCAAAGTAGTATATTATGAATAATGTCTGACAAAAATGCGTCATCATCGAGGTGAAAAGCAGACAGAAACAACCGACAACCAGACCATTTCTCATATGAAATTCAAGACATACATCTCAAGAACCTACAAACTTTTGTACATTTAATACACACCACCAAAAACTCTCACCGAACATGAAGAAACATCGATGCTGGTGACGCACTGCTTCACGCTGCCCAGGTTCTCGTCCTCTTTCCCTATGTGGTCGTAGAAGTAGTGCACCAGGTCCTCGTCACACTCGTATGACCAGGTGGGGGGAACAAACCTTAGAGATTTGAAGGGGAAAATAAGCTTCATGGGAAAATCTGTAGCTGTATAATCACAAACAGGGATTCTCTGATCTGACTCAAGCCTAGGGCTGCAAAGATTTGGAAAAAAAATAACTAACTGCGATCATTTTGTACTTGGGATATGATTCTGGGGTTGATTAATGTTTTCAGCATTAAGACATATTTTTAAACATGATTTCTTACGTGTGTAGAATCATATTTGTAGGTTAGGATATCAGCTCGACAATACTTAAAACATTTGAGCCTTTAACAAATATTGTGGTTCCTGCGATGTAAATATTGCAACAGTCCATACTGCGATTTGGATAACATTATTGATTACTTGTGCAGCCCTACTCAACACAAACATGCTCACCTCAGCTTCTGGACGGCAGAATCATCACACTCAGCGATCTTGGGCTTGGAGCCGATGTGCAGGGCGTTCTCCACCCCCACCACCTGCTCCCAGCGGTTGCAGGGCTTGTGGTCGTATCCGAAGAGCTGCTGCTGTCGGCTGATGGTCTCCGGAGACTCCACCGGCACCAGCCTGTCCCCCCCCTCCGTGTGTTTGCACACCAGGATCCAGCCCTCCTCCAGCTCCTGGCCCGGACGGTGCTCCTCCAGCTGCTCCTGGAGACAGACGGGGACAAGTTGTGTCAACATGTGTTTTCAGACCCCATAGAAAGTCATCCAAATGTAATTAACAGCTGATACACCTGTAAGAAGGGGGAAAAGAAAAATTGTTAAGATCTACATCAATGTAGTTCTTCTTGTTGTCCATTTAACAAAATACATCCGAAACAGTCAAACTGCAACTCTCTCTGAATAAAGCCTTTGTTATTAACTTCACACCACATTCAAAAACGAAACAGACCCACCACTTCTTTTTTAAATATATGTATTTATGTTCCTTGTTCACATTGCAAATTCTTTTTTATAATGTTTTTTTTCACAATATTGGCTCTTGTTTTCCCATTTTTACTTCTATTAATCTGTTTATGTATGAACTAAAGCAAATTCTTGGTACGTGAATCGAACTTGGGACTTAAAGGTCCCATGTGATGGCCATTTCTACTGATCATAATTCCATTGTTGAGGTCTACTAGAATAGATTTATATTGTTCAATTTTCCAAACTCACATTGGTTTCTCATACAGCATCTCTGTATAGTATGTGTATTCACTCTCTGTCCTACATGGCTTGTTGGAGCTCCTGCCCCCCCCTCCCTGTGAGCCAAGTGGCCGTCTGCGAGACAGCGAGACACAGCGAAACCCAGCCCGAACACAAACACACCCGCAGCCTGGCTGGGAGTTTGTGTGTGTGCCCAGAATGAGGTCCGCGGTGTCTAGCCGACCCCACACCAGTGAGCCGGCTCACAGTGTCCCGCTCCTCGCAGCAGCGAGCCTCGCAACGTCCCGCCGAGTGTGTGTGTGTGTGTGTGAGGAAGTCTGCGGATTGGTCCAAACGTAACGGCTCCACGGATTGGTCAATTTGGACCAATCTGAGGAGCCGTTACGTTACGTCACCAGTGTTTCCCCTATATACAAATAGTGGCGGCGCAGCGCCGCTGCTGAAATATGAGCGCCGTTGCTAGGGGGCGCCAGCCAGGTACCCA